TTGGAGAGCAGGGGGAGCAAGGAGACGCATCTGCCAAGGTTGGAGCAGAGCTGCACCCTCTAGACTACTGGGTGTTGGACACGGGCGCTGCTTGGACGATGACGCCGCGCAAGGACCTGCTGGACCACGTACGCGCTGCACCGATCAACGAGGTGTGCTCTGCCTCTGGACACGCGCTGAAGGTGGCTGGTGCGGGACGAGCTGCGTTTAAGGGGGCGGATGGCAAGCCGGTGGTGCTGCACGACGTTCTCCTAGTTCCTGAACTCAAGGCCAACCTCATCTCCCTCCGTAAGCTTGGCAAGGCTGGGGTGAGCACTAGCACGGATGGGGCACGCACTTACAAGGGGAAGCTGGGCAATTGGGTGCTTTGGGATCTGTACGAGAGCACGGACGTGTACAGATCCATGTGGCAGCTGCCGGCATTGGCGTGGCATGGTAGGGGGCAGGCTGGAGAGGGGTCTGCATCCCAGGGGGAGTGCAACGCCGTTGGAGGGGTTGGTGTGAAAGTGTCGGCCAGATCTGGGGAGACGGATTGGGCAACGGCACACCGACGCTTGGGGCATGTGGCAATGCCCTTGTTGAAGCAGTTGGAGAAAGATGGAGCCGTTAATGGTCTGAAGCTGAATGGACAGCCAGCTGATGAGAATTGTGAAATCTGTTTGCTCTCAAAGTTTACCCGGTTCCCCTTCCATAGTGTGGCTGGCAGGAGCAAGAAGCCATTGGAGCTGGTCCATATGGACTTGGTAGGGCCACTGCCGGTTCAGGGGCACAAGGGGGAGCGGTACTTTTTGACCATAGTGGATGATTGGAGCAGGCTTATGTGGGCATATCCGCTGAAGCAGAAGGTCCACGCCGCCTCTACGATACGCGAAGATTGGCTGCCATTCGTGGAGAAGCAAGCGGAGTGTGTGGTGAAGCGGATTAAAACAGATCGGGGTGGTGAGTTCCTTGGAGCTGAGATGACGGCCTGGCTCAAAAAGCAGGGCATCCAGAGGGAGCTGACCACGGCTTACACCCCACAGTCTAACGGTGTAGCAGAACGGGCGAACCGGACAATTTTGGAGACAGCTAGGGCGCTGCTCATAGAATCTGGGCTGGGCAACTTCATGTGGCCCCATGCTGTTCGGCACGCTACCGTCGCTAGGAACAGGGTACTCACAAAGGTTGGGGATGACTCGTGGGTGCCGTTGGAGAGGTGGCTTGGGAGGAAGCCGCCGGTGGACATGCTGAGGGTGTTCGGTTGCATGGCAGTCGCCCACGTCCCCAAGACCTACCGCAGTAAGTTGGGGGCGAGTGCAATCTGGTGTGTGCATTTGGGGCTGGCTGCTGAAAGCAAGGGATGGCTGCTGTGGGAACCTTCCAAAGGTGTGTTGTTTGACAGCAGGGATGTGAAGTTTGTTGAGGGCATGATGTATGGGAGCTGGGAGAAACAGCCGGAGGCCAGGGTGTCCCAGCAGATGGAGCAGATCACCATCCAGCTGGACCTGACTCCTAGTGTGTGGGAGGAGGGAGAGGAGGCAGCTGCAGAGGGTGGTGATGGAAAGAAGGTACAGGAGGCACCTGCTGGTGGAGAAAATGATGTGGAGACTAGCACTAGTGGAGCTGCTGGATCCGAGGGGGGAGAGCAGCAGCAGGGGAAAACTAAGAAGCCGAAGGATGTCGTTATGAAGGGATGGGAGACACCCGTCTCCAGGCCAGGACGTACCCGTATGGCTACTAAGAAGCTGACTGCAAGAGCTGATGTAGCAGAGCAGCAGCTTGGGACAGAGGAGGCATTGCTGATTCTACCGCATGGCTATGATCCGGATGAGGAGGATGAACCTGCCTACTGTTTTCTTGCCCCTACACCAGAGGAACCAGCTAGCATGGAGGAGGCATTAGCTGGACCAGATAGGGAGAAGTGGCTGGTTTCCAGGGATGCTGAGTACCAGAGCCTGCTAGAGAATGGGACATGGAAGCTGGTGGTGCTGCCTGAGGGGAAGAAAGCCGTACAGTGCAAGTGGGTGCTAAGGATCAAGACCGACGACAAGGGACAGGTCACCATCTACAAGAGTAGGCTGGTGGCTAAGGGGTTTATGCAGAAGGAGAAGCAGGTTTTTAATGAGATCTTTGCTCCCACTGCCAAACCCCCTACCTTCCGTGTCTTGTTGGCAGATTCAGCCGATAGTGGGAAATTCATCTTTCAGATGGATATATCAACAGCATTCCTCAATGGGATTTTAGAGGAGGATGTGTACATGACGCAGCCGCCTGGGTATGAGGATGGTACAGGCAGGGTGTGCAAGCTGAAAAAGTCCATCTACGGCTTGAAGCAGGCGCCACGCTGCTGGTACCAGAAGTTGGCAGCTGTTTTAGAGGAGATGGGATTCAGGACCAGCAGCTGTGATGAGAGCCTCTTTCTCAAGGGGGAGGGGGAGAAGCTGGTGCTGTTTCTGGTCTATGTGGACGATATTCTTCTCTTTAGCAGCAGCATGAAGAAGATCCAGAAGGTGCAGCAGCAGCTGATGGAGAACTTCAAGGGCAAGAACCTTGGGGAGGTAAAGTACTACCTCGGGATGCATGTGGAGAGGGATCCAGATCACAGGTGGTTGAAGCTGCACCAGGAGAAGTTCACCAAGGAGCTGGGGGAGAAGTACGGGATTGAGAATGAGCGCAAAGTTGCAACTCCCCTGCTAGCAGAATTCAAGCTTGTGAAAGCTGCAGAGGATGAAGGGCTTGAAGCCGAGGAGCAGCAGCAATTTCAGTCCTTGGTGGGCAGCCTCTTGTATGCAGCAGTTCACACAAGGCCCGACATCTCTTTCTCTGTTGGGCAGCTGGCTAGGGTGGTGCAGAATCCATCAGAGGAGCAGGTGGATGCAGCTGAGCGTGTGGTGAAGTATCTGAACTCTCACCGAAGCATTGGAGTTCAATACTCCGCATCTGCACAGGTGAAGCAGAAACGGGTTGAGGTGCTGAAAGAGAAGGGGGAGAGGCTTGGAGAAGGCAAGCTGTTTCTCACTTGCTTTACCGATGCTACGTGGGCCTCTGAGAAGGAGGATTCCTCATCTGTGGGAGGATACATCTGCGTAGTTGGGGGAGGACCTGTTAGTTGGAGGTCAAAGAAGCAGACGGAGACGGCACTCTCTTCCGTGGGATCAGAGTACATGGCGATGTTCCAGGGGTGAAGGAGGTGATTTGGCTGAGGAGGCTGTTAGAGGAGATTGGCCAGGAGCAAAATGTTGCTACACCACTGTTTTGTGATAGCAAGGGAGCTCTTGGGATGGCCAGGAACGCTGTGCTTCATGGGCTGAACAAGCACATGCGTATCAAGTGGCACTGGCTGCGTAAGGAGGTGAAGAGGGGGACGGTGAATCCGATCTACATCAAGACTTTCCAGCAGCCAGCAGACTTCCTCACTAAGAGGCTTGCGGATGAGCCTCATTGGCGTTGTGTGCGCATGAGTGGAATGAGCATGAACTAGTATGGAATGAGGGGGATGCAGCCGGCAGGCTGAGGGGGAGTGTGTTGGGTGCAAATTATCTTTGCACGACATCCTGCCGTCTGTTTGTACGAGTATGCGTGTGCGAATGCATTTGGGTGTGAATGGAATGTTCGTGTGTTTGTTTGCTTTCGCAATTTTTGCTTGAAGCATTTGCAGGTACTCGCGCATTTTGCGCTTCGGCACAACGCGCTATGAACAGTACAAGCAGAAAGGACGAGCTCGCAAAGGAACCCAAGATGGAAGCTTTGCGGTTCGGTTGAATTGATTGTGCAGATTCAGTTCTATCCAACTCGAAATTGTACTGTTTCGTTTGGCTGACTATAGTGTAGCAGGTCAGGCACTATAGGGGTACAATTTAGGTGAAGGTTGGATGTTGTTTGTCTGTATCTGCATGCTACAGGGCCAGGGGAAACCAGCGGAACCAGCATTTGGCTGGTTGGGCAAAGACAAAACAGGTTCTGTTTTTAGGACCTGAACCTGGTTGTTGTTTTCCCAGGTTGGAAAAACAGAACCAGAGGTTGTTTACCAACCTACCACCTGCTGTTTTGTCCAGCCAGGTTGGTTCTGTTGCTTGGAATTATTTGGGATCATCCCTGGTTGTTCCCAGGTTGATTCCCAAGGTCCTTGTTAGCTAGAACTATTTATTCCTTCTATGTTTGTACCTGGATATAGTCAATTTGATTCAAGCGAATTCCTCCCTTCCTGGAATTTCGTTTCTACGCGGTGCGACGGCGGAATGCTACCCGAGTCAACGCTAGTACGCTAGCACTCCAACACTAGGCAAACGCTGTCCGAGCCATAACTTCGTAATGGCAGAACTTTTCGCAAGGCAACTTGGTTCATAATAAAGCTCTTGGAGCGAGCTTCGATATAGGAAATTCTCAGCTTAATCCGATCGACGGTCTGCACGATACGCTGCGCGACGTTCAAGGTACTCTTGTTGTTTTGTCTGAGTCCCTCTTGATCCCTCTCTCTACAAACTCGGACCCGAGGATAGGGGCTGGTCTTGTATCAGGCACCCAAGGACCCTTGAAGAGGTTTTAAGTTTGATAAAGTCTTAATAGCTTGAGTTTGTTCGCCCTGGGAGGGGGAACTGCGTCGACGTAGGTGCCTGTAGATCTCCAAGAAGCCAACTCAGAGTCCATAACCGCTTTCCACTGAGAGGCCCACTCCCGCAACACTACCTCACGGTACGTGCGAGGAGTTGGTATGTCAGGGGCGTCAGGGTCTCCCTCAGGGGAAAGCAGCATGGCACAAAGAGAGGGAAAAGCGGCTGCCAAGAACTCCAGCTCAAATTGCCTGTCCTCTAGGACGTCACAGCCATGGGCAGTTTCACCTCCGACGGACAGAGGACTGGCAGCCACCACACGCGTGGCGTTGTCAAGGTGGCGGGTGGTAGTGTCACCGACAGTGGCAGTAAGAGCCGAGACAGACGATGGAGAGGCACGAAAGCCAGTAACAAGAGAGGCGGGGACACCGTCTACTGGATGGCGCACACTGTTCTGGAGGGGCGCGCTGCTCAGCAGGGGCGCGTGCTGATCTGCAAGGGCGCGCGCTGCTCTGCAGGGGCGCGCGCTGGTTTGACGGGTGGCACGGCCTGCTCTGTAGGGGCGCTCGCTGCTCTGCAGGGTGGCTCGTGCTGATCTGCAGGGGCGTGCGCTGCTCTGCGGGGTGGCGTGGGCTGCTCTGCAAGGGCGCACGCTGCTCTGCAGGGTGGCGCGGGCTGCTCTGCAGGGGCGCGCGCTGGTCTGCAGGGTGGCGCATGCTGATCTGCAGGGGCGCAAGCTGCTCTGCAGGGGTGCGCGCTGCTCTACAGGGTGACGCGGGCTGCTCTGCTAGAGTGCACGCTGCTCTACAGGGTGGTGCGGGCTGCTCTGCAAGGGCGCGCGCTGCTTCGCAGGGGCGTGTGCTGCTCTGCTGGGTGGCGTGGGCGGCTTTGCTAGGGCATGCGCTACACTGCAGGGTGGCGCGTGTCAAACTATAATTCCATAGTTTGTGAAAGTTTTAGTCTAGGTGTTCTCCCTTGTGTTATTTTGTACTTGCACTAGGGTTAGGTTTTGCATATATCTTGTTTGTACTTTCTGTTTTAGTCAATTTTTTACATTGTCACATGGTATAGAGCTAGGTTAACCCTAGCAAGACTTTTCCCTTAGGAAAAATCACTCGACTAAGTTATGGCCCACCTAGTTGCGTCCCGTCCTAGACCGCCCGAAGCGTACTTACCTTAGGACCCCGTTGCCCGTAGACCCCCAACTCCCAGTCGCCCGTCGCTCGTTTCCCCCCGTCGACCGCGGCCAGTCTTTTCCTAGTTTTTTTTTCCCGTCACCCGTAGACCCCCCCCCCCCCCCCCGTCGTGGCGGTTAGTTACCGGGCCCCGCGGCCTTTCGTTAGCGGGCCCCGCGGCCTTTCGTTAGCGGGCCCCGCGGCCTTTCGACCGTGGGCCCCGAGGCCCCTTCCTTAGCGGGCCCCGAGGCCCCGTCGTTAGTCGCACGCACGCACAGCAGCAGCCGCGCGCACCAGTGACCCGTCGACCCACCCGTTCCCCACCGTCGTAACCGCCGCCCCACCCGTGAACCACGGCCCCACCCGCTGCCTTACCTGCTGCCCGGTCTGTTAGCCGTCGCCTCACTCGCGATCTGCCGCCCCACGAGCAGAAAACCGCCGCCACACCAGAAATCGGCCGCCCCAGGAACTGAAGCCCGCTGTTTTAAGCGCCCCACGTGATAACAGCCGCCCCAGACCTGCTAGAACCGTCCTAGCAGTGCCAGCAGCCGCTAGAACCGTGCTAGCAGTGCCAGCAGTTGCTAGAAATGCGCCAGTAGCCCCACCTGTCCAGCAGCCCCACCTGTCCAGCAGCCCCACCTGTCCAGCAGCCCCACCTGTCCAGAAGCCCCACCTGTCCAGCAGCCCCACCCATCCAGCAGCCCCACCTGTCCAGCAGCCCCACCTGTCCAGCAGCCCCACCTGCAGCAGCCCCACCTGTCAGCAGCCCCACCTGTCCAGCAGCCCCACCTGTCCAGCAGCCCCACCTGTCCAGCAGCCCCACCTGTCCAGCAGCCCCACTTGCCCAGCAGCCCCACCTGTCCAGCAGCCCCACCTGTCCAGCAGCCCCACCTGTCCAGCAGCCCCACCTGTCCAGCAGGCCCCACCAGTCCAGCAGCCCCACCTGCCCAGCAACCCCACCTATCCAGCAGCCCCACCTGTCCAGCAGCCCCACCTGTCCAGCAGCCCCAACTGTCCAGCAGCCCCACCTGTCCAGTAGCCCCACCTGTCCAGCAGCAGCTTAGGCTGCCCCAGCAGAACCAGCAGTAGCTTAGGCTGGCCCCAACGCACCAGCAGCAGCTTAGGCTAATGTCAGCGCATCCCCCCACCCCCCCCTATTTGTACTAGAGTTCTACAGCAGCAGGGCCAGCCGACGAGCCTGCTGCCTCCTGCACAGTCGGTACCACTGGGGCCCTCTCCGGCCACTTTTCACAGGAAGCCGGGCTCTGGTCTGTACTCACATCACACTAGGTCCCACCACACTGGGTCAGGTCAGGTCCTGTCAAGTCAGGTAGCTGCTGTGTCGTGTGACTGTCGGTCCCTCACCCACCCATCGGTCCTCTGGCACCACCGTCTAGGTCACCCGTCGTTCCCACGTCTCAGTAGGATGGCATGTTACCGTCTGGTCTCAGGTCTCCCAGAGTAGCTTACACCGCTTCCCCGCTCGCCTGCGCCGCCGTGCACTCCTTGCGTCAAGGGTCGGCAACGCGCTGCCCCTCACTCCTCCTCGTTCCCCCTCCACCACGGCTCCCTTTCAGACCCTGCACTTGAACATCAGGGGCCCCTCCCCGGTCCTTGGCCCACGTCAGGAGCGCTACTTCCTGATTGTGGTGGCCCGCTACACCACGGTTTTCCCCTTGCGATGGAAGGCCGACGTGCCTACCGTCCTCGAGCCGTGGCTACTAGCGTGAGGTAGCGCCCAGGGCCTGTATGGGCTTCGCCTACACTCGGACCGTAATGGTGAGTTTTCTTTCACTCGCCTGGAGACGTTCTGTCTGGGTTAAGGATCATCTAGCCTTACACGCTATCAGCCTCGCCGCAGCAGAACGGGGTAGCCGAGCGACGCATCGGCCTGGTCATGGAGATTGCCCGGACCTCCATGTGCCATGCCGGTGCCCCTCAGTTCTTGTGGCCTCAGGCAGTCCGCTACGTCGCACACCAGCTGAACCTGTGGCCCACTGACGCACGGCCACGGGTGACGCCGGTCTCCCTTTGGACAGGTTCTCCGGGCGTAGCAGCTCGCACCGTTACGCTGAATTAGTCGGATATGGTTGAGCAGATCCTCACGCGGTTTCGCTTCCCGTTCTCCAAGGTACAGCTCACCCCTCTTGCTGTGGATCAAGGGCTTACGGCTCCACCTTCGGACAAGTCATTGAGTCCAGTGGTCCATATCCCGAGCTGGTGGGTTGTCTCATGTGCCTGATGACCTGTACTCGCCCAGACCTAGCTTATCCTCTTAGCGTCCTTGCGCACTTTGTTTGCGCCTAGGAGACACCGACCATCCCACCGGTACGCTGCTAAGAGGGTGGCGAAGTATGTGGCGAGTACATCAGGCATGAGACTTGTCCTTGGAGGGAAGCAGCCAGTTACACCCACAGTTTACTCAGACTCATCATGGGGCGACGACGTGGAGACATGTCGGTCTACACAATGGTACTTCTTTAGCCTCGGGACAGGTACTGTTTCGTGGTGGTCGACTCGGGCGTCATCCGTCGCCGGTTCCAGCTGTGAGGCAGAGGTGTACGTTGCGGCCATGGCCGCTCAGGAGCTTCGCTGCCTGTCTTTCCTTCTCACTGACCTTGGTGAGCGGCCTCGCTCTCCCCCAGTCTTGTTGGTCGACAACAGGTCTCCTACCCTGTTGTTTGAGGAGCCCCGACTGGTTGGGAAGGCGAAGCATATCCAGCTTCGTTACTTCCTTCTGCGTGAGTTGCAGCAGCATGGCCAGGCACTCGTTCGACGTGTTGTCTCTGAGGCCAACACGGCAGATATCTTTACCAAGGCGTTGTCGCCTTGTGACCACCAGCGCTGCACCCAGCTTGGCCTTGTGCATGCCTGTCCACACCTGTTTACGTAGAGATGCCTTGTCCTGCATGTCTTGTACTCTTGCATCTCTTTATATTTGCTTTATACCTGCATGTGGACTCGCCTTGTGGCCCCTTGCTTGCTCTCGGAGTGTGTTCAGCTCCACCCTAAGATTTGTCTTGTTCTTGTGGACTGGTCTTGTGACCGTTGCTTGCTCTTGTTGTTTTTACAGGACTACCGTCACGTAGACTATGGGGGTGTGTCAAACTATAATTCTATAGTTTGTGTAGTTCTAGTCTAGGTGTTCTCCCTTGTGATTTGTTGTACTTGCACTAGGGTTAGGTTTTGCATATATCTTGCTTGTACTTTCTGTTTTAGTCAATTTTGTACATTGTGACAGCGCGGACTGCTTGCAGAGGTGTGCTCTGCTCCACTGGGGCGTGTGCTGCTCTGGTGGGTGGCGCGGGCGTCTTTGTTGGTGCGTGCGCTGCTCTGCTGGGTGGCGCGTGCTTCTCTGTTGGATGGTATGCGCTGCTCTACTAGGGTGGCGCGTGCTACTCTGCTGGGGTGCGCACTGCTCTACAGGGTGGGGCGCGCTGTTCTGCAGGGTAGGTTGCTACGAGCAACGAAGCGAGTACGGAGCAACGGAGCGACTACAAATACGAAAACCTGGAACTTGTACCCCCTACAAGGCACCTCAATACAGCCTACAACAGTTCTTATATTTTGAAAACGAGTAGAATATGAGCAAGCTGGCAGCGAGTTCCAGGCTAGCCCCGATGCGTAGGCCGACTTGGGCCAGTCTAGCAGTATGTGGTTTGGGAATTGTGACGCACGAAGGCGGTGAGACACCGCTAGCAGTAACTGGCGATGAAACGGTTGATCTTGTACGAGATACTGAGGTGCGCGGTAGGGAATACATGAAATTTCTTACAATATATAATTATATGACAACCCTGACCGTCTCCATTGTGACCAAGGCTGACGTACTCGCTGGTGAACAGCTATGTCACGCTGAGAATCTTCCTCAGCGTCCTCGACCTCAACCTGATGCAGCTCGACATGAAGAACGCTTTCCTGCAAAGTAAGCTCGATCGAGTGCTGTACATGTACCAGCTAGACTACTTCGACGACGGGACCGGCCGGGTGTGCCAGCTGCTGGAGAGCCTCTACGGCCTGAAGCAGTCGCCGCTGCTGTGGTACAGGGCTCTCGACGGTATGCTGCTGGGTGCTGGCTGGAAGAAGAGCCAGGTTGACACGTCAAGATGTTGAGGAAGATCCTCAGCGTGACATAGCTGCTCAACGGCGAGTACGTCTCATCGTAGTCGGCGCCGTACACTTGCGTGAAGCCCTTCACGACCAGCCTCGCCTTCTCGCACTCGACGGTGTCGTCGATGCGGTATCTGGCATTCGAGCAGCTCCCAAATGCTCATGTTGATGAGGCTGCGGATCTCCTCCTCCATTGCGGCCTTCACCGCCTCGCCCTTCCAGCTTGCTTATGCCTCCTTCACCGCCATCGTCGCGATATCCCTGTGGTGTTCGGGGTCGGCGTCCAAGTCGGGGTCGAGCTCAGGCTTGGAGTGTTAACGGGAATAGAGTGTTGGCCCCGCCCTCGCTTCGGCAACGCCGACGTCCTGGGCGGAGAAGCAGCCGACAGTACGCAGTGAGAGAGCTGCTCGACGGGCTTCGTCGAGTTCCACGAGATCACTGTGGTGTTGCCGTCGACCAGGGGTGCTCGACGGCCTTCTTCTGTGGGGCAGGTCGACAAGGTAGTCGTCGACCTGCACTGGACTATCGCGGGGCTGGAGCCGTCGACCAGGGGAGCTCGACGGCTGCAGTAGGCCAGGCTGGTTTGTTGGGTGGAACTTCACATTGCACGACATCATGCCGTCTGTTTGTACGAGTATGCATGTGAGAATGCATTTGTGTGTGAATAGTATGTTCGTGTGTTTGTTTGCTTTCGCAATTTTCGCTTGAAGCATTTGCAGGTACTCGCGCATTGTGGGATTCGGCACAACATTGTACGCGCTATGAACAGTACAAGCAGAAAAGACGAGCTCGCAAAGAACCCAAGATGGAAGCTTTGCGGTTTGGTTGATTGCGCAGATTCAGTTCTATCCAACTCAAAATTGTACTATTTTGTTTGGTTGACTATAGTGTAGCAGGGCAGGCACTATAGGGGTACAATTTAGGTAAAGGTTGGATGTTGTTTGTCTGTATCTGCATGCTACATGGCCAGGGGAAACCAGCGGAACCAGCATTTGGCTGGTTGGGCAAAGACAAAACAGGTTCTGTTTTTAGGACCTGAACCTGGTTGTTGTTTTTCCAGTTTGGAAAAACAGAACCAGAGGTTCTTTACCAACCTAACACCTGCTTTTTTGTCCAGCCAGGTTGGTTCTGTTGCTTGGAATTATTTGGGATGATCCTTGGTTGTTCCCAGGTTGAATCCAAGGTGCTTGCTAGCTAGAACTATTTATTCCTTCTCTGATTGTACCTGGATATAGTAAATTTGACTCAAGCGAATTCCTCCCTTGCTGGAACTTTGTTTCTACGCGGTTCGACGGCAGAATGCTACCGAGTCAACACTAGTACGCTAGCACTCCGATGCTAGGCAAACGCTTCCGAGCCATAACTTTGTAATGGCAGAACTTTTTGGAGGCAACTTGGCTTATTTTTACAGCTCTTGGAGCGAGCTTCGATATACGAAATTCTCAGCTTAATCCGATCAACGGTCTGGACGGCACGCTGCGCACGTATAAGGTACTCTCATTATTTTGGCTAAGTCATTCTTGGTCCCTCTCTCTAAAAACTCGGACCCGAGGATAGGGGCTGGTCTTGTACCAGGCACCCAAGGACCCTTGGAGGTGACCCCGAGGAAAGGTATTAAGTTTAATTAGGTCTTAATAGCTTGAGTTTATTAGGCCCTTACACCAACAAGCTGGTATCACAGCTGCGTTATAGTGATCCTCGTTATAGGTAGCTATGATGGGCAACACCTCGACGGGAGCTGGTGAATCTTCAGCCCAAGATCGTGGCGGCAGCCAAGATTCTGGTGTTTCAGTGCCAAGGGGGGTGCGAACAAACTAGGGCTCGCTGGTCAAGGAGGTGCTGAAGAACTTTACCGTCGAGAAATTCAATGGTGAGGGCTATGATGATTGGGCCTGGAAAATGCAACTCTATTTCAGCGGTCTCGGGCCTGGATCGCTGAAACTAATGATTGGGGAGGAACCTAGACCGAGTCACCCCGCGCTGCAGAAAGAATGGGAAGAGCGCTCATTGGCTGGCTACTACTTGATGTCGCAGAGTTTGGAGCTCAACCAGCGACACCACGTCATACACCTGCTGCCGGAGGTTTAGTGTGGTCCGAAGGCTTGGACCGTGTTAAAGGAGCTGCACGCCCTGACCTTCGTTGTTGCAACGCTGATGCAGGAGAGGGAGCTGTCCGCGTTGCGCCTAAGCGAGGGAGAGCCGGTGCAACCTGTCCTGGACAAGAAGCGCGATCTCTATGCGAAATTGGCGACCGCGGGAATCA